ACTTCATCAGACACACTTCCGTCAGAGCTAATACAACTACCGAGGTACGTGAAGTTTTCCACAATGTTCAGTGGTTCTCCTTGAATTGTAAGGGATATGTTCGCAGATGGCACGTTCTGAAGCAGGACTTTGCACTTTGAAGGTGCAAGGCGCATGCCAAATGATGGTATGATGGCTGATGCCATTACGCATGGGAGGTGGATAGTACACCATTTAAACGGTCAAAAGTGAGATTGGAGGGGAATCCGTGTAAACCAGAGCATGGTGGAGACCCCGATTGATTTAAATCTGACTTGACATAAAAGAATCGGTTTGCGCTGCATAACATTCCCGAAAAGCTAGTCATTCATTTTAAATTTCACAATGCAATAAAAAGTGCGAATGAGAACAAACACGTAATAGTGAATAAAACCTCTTGGATCGGTCTTGGGAATTTGGTTGGATTGAGACAATCCGTGGCGCCAAACGAAAGAGCCAGAGGGAATTTGTTCTCATTGGTATCAATCCCAATAATTTTCCTGGCACCTGCGTGCATACATCCCATGATGACCGCAAGTCCAACAGCCCCAAGACCCCAGACGGCACAGATACTCCCTGGTTCAACACCTAAATTGTTCCAAAATCAGTCCATAGAAAAGAAAGGACAGCACCTGCTGTGTTCAGTGCAGCACCGTATCCTGTGCTGATACCACATCCCAACAAACCAATACGATCCAACGGGGCCTGCGAATCAATTTTCGCAATAGATATTTCAGCCACAACGGTATATTCACTAAAAGTACTACAACCCATGAAGTGGAATACATCCTTTCCATTGCACTTGAAGCGAACAGTTCCGTCAGGCATGAGGCCACGGCCTTGTGTAGTTCTATTGTTGTCAAACGGGATAAATCTGAAATAAGCCTCACCTTATCTTCGAACACAAATTTGTTTTCCCACTCAGACAAAACTTGCATGTGTCACACTGCGGTATGTAAAGTGGAATCACATGATCTCCTGGGATGACAGAGGTAACATCAGGACCAACACTCTCAACAACACCAGCTCCCTCATGTCCCAAAATAACCGGAAATATGCCCTCTGGATCAAGACCACCGAGGGTGTATGCATCCGTATGACATACTCCAGTGGAATATATTTTTATGCGAACTTCGCCAGCTTTGGGAGGAGAAACCTCCACAGTTTCAACAGACAACGGTTGGTTCGGACTCCAAGCAACAGCTGCTTTGCACATTATGATCTACCGATATGGTGTGGCTGAAACTGTGGGAAAATAAGCGAACCTTGGCATCCCCGGACATTATTCAGTTGCTGAGTCAGTTTGTTGCTGAAATGGACAGAAACATATTATTATTATTATTATTATTATTATTATTATTATTATTATTATTATTATTATTATTATTATTATTATTATTATTATTATTATTATTATTATTATTATTATTATTATTATTATTATTATTATTATTGTCAGCTGTAAGAACCGCGTACTTGTCACACAGCGGTTGTAGCTGCCACAGATTCGTTCACCGATGACCTGAGAAGGTTGGGTAGGTAGCTGCGCATTGGAGGCGGGGGCCGATAAACTAATGCGTAAATACAGCACTGGTAAGTGGGGGGATTGGGAAGGCACATGAGCGCCATTGAGGGCGTGACTGGGCCATGTCTGACAATGTATCTAACTATTGATATGGCCCGTCTCAGGGTCCCCATCCAAGAAGACGGCAATGACCAGCGCAGCTGAGTATGCTGGTAATTGCTTTTATACTTCGCCGCCAAGTCATCGTTTGACCGCCTCTGGCTCTCTTCCACCCTTCACGTGGTTGTACAAAAAGAGCCCTTCGAGGAAGTCGGTCGACTGGCATACGTAGCACGTGACCAAGCCAGCTCGACTTATGCAGTGTGATCAGTTCATCTATCGATGGTGAGATATTTCTTCTGAATACCATTCGACTTACTTCGGCACTGCTTATCCGGTGTTCCCATCAGACTCGCGCAATGCTCCGCAGACATCGATGGTCAAACACTGAAAGACTTTTGACTTCCTCGGCGCGCAGCGACCAGGTTTCTGACGCGTATGACAATATGGAGCGGACCGCAGCATTGTAAACTCGACCCTTGACGGATAAGCTGATGTCACGCCTACGCAACAGGTAACGCACGTCCACAAAAGCTGCTCTCGCCTTCCCAATCCGGATAAAAGTAGCAACTTTCGCGAGGCCACCAGGACTGATAGAGCTGTCCAGGTGAACAAATTTGTTTACTACCTCAATCGGTTCATCCACAAACATGAGGCTAGGGTTCAAGCCTACTCACTTTTGCAGCAGTACTTTACACTCTTCAGGTGTGAATTGCATGCCAAACCGCGGGGCAGAATTATCTAGATTATTTGATATTGTTCGCATTACCACGGAAGCAGATCCGAGAATAGCTATGTCGCCTGCTTACTCGAAATCTGGGAGCGGACGCCCCGGGAGAGCTTCGATCTCTTAGGCATTAGGGGCTAAGATGGATCAGTGAGGAGAACTGACACTTATAGCGCAAAATGTGCGAAGGGACCTGGTGAGCCCCAGACCGTTGGCTAAGAATGACAGCACCGACAACCATCAACCATTCGCTATGCACCACTACGCCCCTAACAACGCACTGAAGATGTCGCCTCGATTGGTTATGAAACATTTGCAATCAAACGACCCAGCTCTGCGTGAAAAACCAACTACCATCTACGTTATCTGAGGTACCAACATTCTCCTCTATAGAGAATGCGTATACGTTATGTGCACGAGTGAGGCCGGACACTTCCCGGTGTTATGGTCAAGGGTAAATAAGTAACAAATATACAGATCTATATGTAACAAACACAAATATACAGATGTTCGGCTTTAACACCCATCGCGGCCTAGCCGCCATGCCAGCTGAAGGAAACAAGAGGGTAGAGTTAGTGTCAAGTTTCACGACCCTGGACAGGAGCAATCAAGATGCCGAGGTTTGGTTGGAACAAAGTACTATCCGCTTAGTAACTTCGCGCCTTGACGACTGACCGGATCCTTCCACATCTATGCAATGAGTCTGAAACGGGTGTAGTTCCGGAATTCCAGGCCATTGGCTTGTAGATAATCAGGATCCCTCAAAGACTATGAAAAGTTAAAAAAATCCGCATTATTCGCCAGTAGCCAAACTTCCAAACAAAGTTTGATACATGCAAAACGCATAACTTTCTCGCGGCTTTGAAATTTTTGCTTAGAATACATAACGTGGTCCCTTCATAGTTGATGCCCGCCAATCGCGAAGTGGTGAAATCGGGGGGTTCGACGCATATCTTCCATCTGACTTCACTTTTTGTTTACTTATAAACCTCACGTAATTTGGAACCTACGGCACCACGCAAGCGGGACTTATGGATAGATGTGTAATATGCATGCTATGAAAGCACCAGGGGACAGTGATTCTCCGAAGGCAGGTGTTCACGACAATTCCCGTGGATGGAAAACAGAAACAAAGCTCATGAGCCAAAGCCCAGTAAGCAAGGTTGTACATCACCAATACTCATATAAATCAATCAAACTGACAGACACGGTATACTATACTGGTCTCTATTTTGAAGAACACCGTCCCCGGAGTATCATGGCCTACGTAACCGGCCGGTTCTAGTGGTGTGGTGCGTTAAGCTGGTGAGCGTGTGGTGCGTTGCTCTGTCTAGGGCGAAGTGGTGAAATCGGGGGGTTCGACGCATATCTTCCATCTGACTTCACTTTTTGTTTACTTATAAACCTCACGTAATTTGGAACCTACGGCACCACGCAAGCGGGACTTATGGATAGATGTGTAATATGCATGCTATGAAAGCACCAGGGGACAGTGATTCTCCGAAGGAAGGTGTTCACGACAACTCCCGTGGATGGAAAACAGAAACAAATCTCATGAGCGAAAGCCCAGTAAGCAAGGTTGTACATCACCAATACTTACATATAAATCAAACAAACTGACAGACACCGTATACTACATATGCTGACGTGATCACAACTGCTAGCAATTGCTATCGCAAAGCATCCTCTCCCGCATGGGACTGGCCAAAGTAACGGGCCACTTGTTGGCCCAGCATCAAGGCGGGCTCTGATTGGCCGAAACGCCAGACTCAAAAGCCAATCATGATCAAGTATCCGGATACCAAAGGCGCATCCAAAAGACATCAGAAATTCCAGAGAGTTCATACTACACGATTTATATACGAGGCGCCGTACATGCGTTTTTGACATGGTTTAAGGCGTTAATACTCGCTGTGCATCTTCGATGGTTGTTATGCCCGGAACGCTAGCTTGGGATGTTCCGAACGCGAAATAAGCTGAAAAAATGACATAAATACAAGTAAAGCTAGTGAATTAAATTCTCAGCGCAAAATTCCTTCAGTCTCATGAAGGGTACTGGGACATATTGGCTGAATTGTGGAAACGTGGCGTTGCTAGCTCGGTTGAAACTTTTGGCGTGGATATGTCTCCCGAAAGACCAATGTGGGTGACATACAATGCAGTTATCTGGGCAATCCCGAGATCCCCGTGAAGTCAAACGGATGGTGGACCACATGTACAGAATGCGTGGTTATAACGAGGCGGAAAGGTTTCTCATTTGTGGTAAATGTCACGGTATAAATATTGTTATTCTGTAGCGTAATGTCGTTACATCCATATTTTCAGTTTCATCAGAAGTACACAAAACGGCCAAAGTCTCATCTCAAGGTGTTCAATCTAAGTGTCATCCGCGCGCTTTTTGCCGCAACCGTCAATGCTCGGACCCGTCCGGGGGATGGCCGATAACTAGCTCCTTCATATCTTATTGGTACTTAATTCAAATAAGTTTGCTGAACTTCTGAAACTCGAATCCAATATCCGAATACGGTTACTGGGCCTATTCTGGTGTGGTCATGTATGTGCTCTCGACTCTTGGTCACAGGCTTACCCGCTTAACTGGATACCAGTAAAAATTTTACGGCAGCAAAGCATTAGTGTTGAACACTGATGTCATACCGTTGATGAGAACAATGGGTGGACAGTTGTCTCTGTACCGTTCTCTTGCCCACTTACTTAGGGGCTCACGTGAACTGAAAGAAACCACATTGTTTGCGAGCCAGCTGATGCGCCATTTGGCTGCAGCTCCTGTTTCGTGAGGTACATTTCACTTAGTGATAATCAATCCATTTTTCCGTGAACGGTTCGGATATAGTTCAAAGAGCTGGAGGCGGTTGTGCATCCGTCTTTACTACAGGACGTTAGGCCAATTCTGTTGGTGCCGCCTTGTCTGGACATATTACGTAGACCTGTTCACTCCGTGTTCTTCCAAGTTACAGGTAACCTGCCCCTAATGTTTTACATAAGGATGTAAGATTTTCATTTCACGCTTTACCAAGCATACTTTTTCGTGTGCATGGTCAAGGACCAATTTTCAAAATGGTGGAATAATAACAACAACCTAGCTCCAACACTCTTTAGACGTTTGCTTCAGTCATTTTGAGCGAGGAATGCGGGCTGGGATACTGTTAGAGAGCCACATCATAAACAGGGGCGATCGAGAGACCACCGTTCGGTTCGGACCCCGGTCTTACGGTCATTATGTCTATACCTTAGTTACTGGGACATGTCTCACTCGGTGCCTATTATCACCTGCATGACCCTGTCCATGATGGATTACAATTGGTCTATTCCCGTCGGGGATGACGATGCCGGAGATGGTCCTGTGGCTGAGAAGCACAATCCCTGATGGGAAGCAAACCTTGGCATCTCGGTTGCTACTGTGTAGGCTCTAACAGCCTGGCAGTGTCTCAGCCCTCAAGGTCCCGTTGGGTCAAATACCAGCTGCGCATTAAAGGCGTTCATGCAGCTGAATGCTTAAAGTTATTATTTATCAAAGTTAGTGTGCATTTATTCACACAAGGTGGCTAAGTGCATGGTATAAACTTGGGGGTACGAAGCTTACATCCATAAAGACGCGGCCAATAGCTTGTTATCACATCATTTTTCTCATTGTCAACGACAGTGACAGAAATAGATCTGTGATATAAGCAGCGCTTAACTGCTACGACAGAAATATTATGACGCCTGAAGTCTGTGGTTGCGGCTTTCTTCCAAGAGAAGTTACAAAGGCAACCGATCCAAATTACGTCCACATCCGAGGAACTAAGAAATGCCTTCAAGCTTTCGCGCATTGATGCATTCGCACCGTGACAAACATTCTCTGGTTGTAGAATGCAGATAACGAATTAGTCGGTAGGCCGATTCTTCAGTATAGTAGCAGCTTGCGCTCAACTTAATTCAATGGTTGGGGTCCTCTC